AGCCTAAGTGATTGCATTTGTACCATCCAGCCACAACTGAGTACAAATCATGTTGCTTCTGTTTTGTGGAGCAGTTTTTACTCGAACTGAGCTAGGAGGGTCACTTAAAATTGAAGGAAGTGACACAGCTTTCTCAGACTGTAAAAAGAGTTTGTTCCTGGACAACGGTGCAAATTTGTTAGCCAGAGTTAAGCTACACCAAAACACTTTGCGAATTTGGTTTACATGCAAACAAATTCACTGTTTGCAGTGATACTGTTTAAATAAATGGATTTTTCCCCCTGAAAGTTAATAATATCTGTGTGTCAGGGTCATGTAGTGTTGAGGGATTTATCAGTCGCTAAGATAATATACAAAATGTGTTCAATGCTCAACTGAAATTTCAAGTTCTGCTTTCTGCATGCAACTTCTAAGCATCAGCTATTAGCATATGAAAACTTAGTAGTGGCATATCAACATCCTGGCATTTCCTCCTCTGCGTCTGTCTCTGTCTCTCATATGCCCACTCAGCAGAGTGCAGCTTTATTATTTGCCTTGGACAATGGTCCACTCATTGTCCACTCAAGAGTTTCAAAATACAAAATGAATATCTGGTGTATAATTTTTACAGTTCTAATTTCTGGGGTATTAAAGGTCAGATTGCACCATTAGGTTGACTGTGAGCACAGGTGCTGATTAAGTTGATTCACTGAGGCAATTACAGCCAGATCCCCTTTAATTACTGTGGGTTTTATTGCAACTGCATGATAATGGTGCACAGGGCCTGCAGGAGTTTTAGATGGAGATGAGGTTGCAAAGTATCACACAAAGACCCAAATCTACAGTACAGGATGGAGGAAAACCTTCACACTCACAGTACATGCACACACTGACATGTGCACACAGAATAAAAGACAAGGAAAAGAGAAAAAGCTTGAAAGAAAAAACTGGTTTCTGTAAGTTCTCATGAATCATCTCTCTCTGTTACACACATACACAATCACAGCATGTTTAAGCAGAAGGGAATACTAACTTGACAAAACTTACAGGCCACAGCATGGCAGAGATTAATGTTAGTTAGAATCCAAGAGTCAGACAAAGCTAAGAGTGTGTGTGTGTGTGTGTGTGTGTGTGTGTGGATGATACACACTCCCAAGTTCATAGCATGTCCTGCCACACACATTTACACACACAGACAGCCTCCTCACCTCCACCCCCCATTCACAGATACACACATTGCAACTTGCCACCCTGCTCAACACAGGCATGCAATAAGAAACAAGTCGACAGCTACACAGCAGGCAATATCCCCTGCTTTCAACCTCGGTGCCTGTTTCGGATGCATCTGGTTAGTAAAAGCTGACAGAGGGGCGGCCATGCCTCAGAGGACAGCAGAATGAGGAATTTCGGCGTTCCTCCACATCACCCCCGAGAGGCAGGAAACACACACCCTCACCCCTAACACACACACACACACACACATACACAACCCGTGATGTGCTCCTAAGATTTGCTGTCACCAGGAATGGAAATCGAAAGCTGCAAACACATCTGTTATCTAAATGTTAACTCCAGTGCCCTTCTTGTTGTCACAGATGGGCTGGGTTAGCCAACGTTAGGTGAGGTGCTTTGCTTTGGGCCTCTAGCATAGTACACCTCTTCTCA